TTTTGCCCCTTTTTGTGTGTGTCTTGGTGTCTGTCTGCATGTGTGCATCTGTATGTGTGCCTTTGAATCAGTTTTTGACTCCTGGCAACTGCCTGGACAAGTCCCTGCAGTTTTCTTGGCAGGTTTTTCAGAAGTGGGTTGCCATTGCCTCCTTCCTAGGGCTGACAGAGAGTGACTGGCCCAAGGTCACCCAGCTGGCTTCGTGCCTAAGGTGGGACTAGAACTCATGGTCTCCTGGTTTCTAGCCTTGTGCCTTAATCACTACACCAACCTGGCTCTCATCTTTTGCCCCAATATAGTAATTGCAATTATTGCAATCACTGGCTGCCATCGGTTAAAGCTTTCTGTCTCCCCCCCCTCCAAAAAAGATAAATGGTACTACTTTACATACACATCTTCATCTGCACTGTAAAATAAAGAACTGAAGGTTTTTTTAAAAGCAAGAAACAGAAACTCCTTAATCACGTTCTCTGCAAAAGATAAGGTAATGCCTCTTACCCATCATGTTTTAAATAATTATTTTACTTCTTTCCAAACAGATAAAAAAGAGAAATCTTTTGCAGGAGAATTCCCCAGATATAGATGGCAGGATCTGACTTAGCATTACTTTAAATGAGATCAAATATTTTTTCATTTGTCATGTAGCAGTGATAAGAGTTACTCTGAGGGTGATTCATATCTAAATTGGAACAATCTCCTTAATATCTTGGGCATGGATACATTTGTATATAAGGATCAGAGAGAAGTCAAAATGGAAGAATCAAAACAAAGTTATTACTTTATAAGAGTAAGTGTACAGCTGTTTCTGTCAAGTGGAAAAGCTTTTATTGCCCACTGCCCAGTTTGATTTATATATTAAAGGCACTTTCTCACAGTTGCATTAATGTGCATTGCTCTTTGAGCTGTCCTTTAGTTGGCAGAAAAGGATGTCATTATCATTTGTCCTGCCAGCATGGAGGGGCTGAATTGTGCCTTCGAACTGAGCCTGGGGAGTGGAGCTGTCCTTACAGATGTAATGTAGGACAATTTCAGGGCAGTGATTGGTGCATCCCTTGGCTTTCTTTCCCCACTCCCACCCCCACCCCCAGGCAAAAACAACCATGAATTGCTGCCTATAATGTGTGGGACTGGGGGGACTCTGGATGCTCCCTCCAGCTACATCCCACTCCCTTCCAATGCTCCATCAGCAAGTCACCCAATCCAAAGATTGATACTCCATCAAATCTGTCCTGTCAATCAGTATGGAGCTGTTATGCAGACTGACAGTGACCTCCTGTTTCATAATATTCCCCTTATATGCCTTACTGAATGATCAGCCAGAGAGAGAGAGAGAGAGAGAAATAGTAATAGGACTACTAGTACTGCAGGACTATCATTCATTCTACCCAAAGGTAGATATGGAGGGAGAGAGAGAGAGAGAGACAGAAAGATCTTGCATTCCAAGCCAAAAGGGATGTAGAGGCAGTGCCCAGCAAGAGGACAGGAAATCAATATTCATTTGTAAAATAAAACAATAAAATAAAATAATCTTTCAAGAGATTAAACAAAACACAATCTCAAATTGTCCATCAGGATGGAGCTTGCAGGCAGTTCAGTAGATCTCCTTCCCATTTCCTGCATTTGCACACTTTTTGTGTGTTTGAATCCACAGCCCTGCACAGTCCTAATCTTTGAAAATATTTGGATTGACAAAGTACTTTGTCCTCAATGTGTTATTTGTATTTATTTCAGATGACCCAGAAACCTGTACATCATGCATCCATAATTATTATATGTAAGTTTATCACTCTTCCTCTGTCTGTCTGTCTCATTTTCTTTTCTAAATGAAAGCAGTGTTTCCATTACAAGGTTCCAGAACAGCTTTCCCCAATCCAGACACATTAACAAATTTTGGAGATTGTCAAGGCTGAACTCTAGCACATCTGGGAGGCACCACTTGGGGAAGGCTATTCAAGTGTCTGTGTTTCTGAATATTTAAACACAGAAAAGAGATTCCATTGTAACTTATAAGGAAATATGTCTCTGTTACATGTATATTTATTCATTCATTCAATTTATATAGCTGCCCATCTTGTGTGTGTGACTTCGGGTGGCTTACAACTCCCAAGGGTAGTTTAAGGGTAACTCCCAGGTAAATGGGAGTCACCCTCTGGGGGAGATGGGTGGCATATAAATTAAATAAATAATTAAATAAATAAATAAATAAATAAATAAATAAATAAATAAATAAATAAATAAATAAATAAATAAATAAATAAATAAATAAATAAATAAATAAATAAATAAATAAATAAATAAATAAATAAATAAATAAATAAATAAATAAATAAATAAATAAATAAATAAATAAATAAATAAATAAATAAATAAATAAATAAATAAATAAATAAATAAATAAATAAATAAATAAATAAATAAATAAATAAATAAATAAATAAATAAATAAATAAATAAATAAATAAATAAATAAATAAATAAATAAATAAGGTTAAAAATAGTACAGAACATGTTATGAATAAGGCTTGTCTTGAGTACAGGTGGTCCTCACTTAGTGATCAGCCATTCAGCATCTGTTCAGTTACAACAGCGCTGAAAAACAGGATTTACGACCAGTCCTCAAAGTTGTGGGCATCACAGCATCCCCATGATCATGTGATTGTGATTCGGTATTTGACAACTGGCACACATTTATGATGGTTGCAGTGTTCCCTAGTCATGTGATCGCCATTTGCAACCTTCACAGTTGGTTTCTGACAAGCAAAGGGGAAGCCAGCAGGAAGTTGCAAGCTGTGTTACGTGACATTGTGCTTAACGACTGCGGGTGATTCACTTCATGACCACAGCCAGAACTGACATTGTAAGTTGGCATGGTCACATGATGTTGCACTTAATGACTGCACCACTTAGTGACATAGAGTTGCCAGTCCCTATTGCAATCAGTGAGGACTACCTGTATGCTTTATCATTTGTGTTTTGTGGACTGTCTTGCTGAAAGTAATAAAAGTTTCCTGATACGTTGTTGCCCTTCTGAAGGAAGGAGAATATTACATTTATGTGCTGCTTATTATTTATATTTATATGGGAAGATCATTTCTGTTTCTTTTGTTCAATGTTCTTTATATTCCTTTCTATTTACCATTATCAATTTTTGTCATGTTTCCCAATTTAAGAATGCCAGTAGCAAATGTCCATTTCCCTCCCTGCTCCCTTTTTTTGGATAGGTACAATCAGCAGTGTTACAGAACATGTCCTCAAAATACTGTCCCAGATGACAGTTCTCACCTATGCATTGAGTGTCAGCCCAATTGTAGAAGCTGTGACAGATATGAATGCTATTGGTGTGAAGAAGGTTTTTTCCTTCTAGGTAAGTGAAACAACCAGACCTGAATGCAAAAATGCCCAGGAATGCAAATGTCTTTCATTGAGAGCTACTGTCCATAATTTGACACTGATGACAGAATAGATTCCCATTATTTGAGGAGACAGCGGGTGACATAAAAAAGAGAGAGAGAGAGTAAAACAAGCATCCTGGTTCAAATTTGTTTATTGTTGTTTGCAGCCTGTGACCAGTCAGTGTAGCAAATAGAAAATCAAAGACATGAGACAGTGTTTGATTATTTCATTTGTTATTTATTTTCTTTATAATAAAATAATCAGACATAAGACATAATCAAATGATAAGGTGTGAGGACCATATATACTATCTAAAACATGTCAAAGTCTAAAATCAAATAAAACTGTTATTAGATATCTTAAAGCACAGTAAAATGAAATGTTGCTTACCATCAAGGGAATGCTTAGTGATGCTTATGTAATCAAGATGAGTACATTTATATCTGATTCTTATGAAGGGACCAAACCTGGATAATTAACAGTCTGAAAGATGTTATAGATTTGGTAAGTGCCCCAGAGGGCTGGATGTCAGGTGTGAAAAAATCTTCATAGCTGCAGCACAGAATTTGGCTATGGAATGGGTAACATGTCCAGAGGTGAAGTGAAATGTGTACCTCATTTTCTGTACCTGGTAGGTCCTTCAGGAGAGGGGAGGTTAAGGGTGGCATGTAGTTTTCTATAAAACTCACAGAGTAATAAAACATTATCCATGATCTCAATTGCCTCGGTTCAAGATTTCATTCCTTTGATTAAGTACTTGTACTAAAGTTCACAAATA